TGACATGATAGGTTTTCCTCCTCTCTACTTATTTGAAGTAAAGGGTATTTAATTATTGTAAAGGATGCCTAACAGACCCAAGATCTTAGAGGGTACATCTGGACAGCTATTTTGGGATACTAGAGGTATGTCTTTGAAATGCGCCCATTATTTTGAATTTTTTTTTCAAAATAATGGGAGTACTATTTTGGCATCTCTGTAACCTCCTTGAGGGTTAAGGAATGTGTCGAAATAGTGCAATATTTCAAAATTTGGCTCTGTATAGACTGGCCAAATTTCAAAATGAGCTATTTTAAAATACAATCAAAATAAGATACTCAATTTGTGTAGCGCAAATTGCATATCTTATTTTGAGTTTAGGGTGCTGTGTAGATGCACCCAGAGGAGTAACCGTATTAGTCTGTAAGCAGACTAGGTGGCACTTAGGCAGGTACTTCAGGTCCACCTTGTTTTGAGTCAATGAAAGGTCATCCTTAACAGTTTCAGAGAGGTAGCCATGTTAGTCTGTAACTTAAAAAAAATTAGTGGTCCTTCAGCACCTTAGAGACTAAATATACATATAGTATCTTGAGCTTTTGTGATTCATCTGAAGCAGTGGGTTGTGCCCACATCCTTAACTGTAAAGGCACACTTAAGTGCTTTTCTGAACCATTGTTCTTTGTTGCTGTTTCACACCAGGTCCCTTGCAACAAACCCCGCTGCCAGCTTTGTCCACATATTCACTCTGCTGACACCATTATTGGGCCTAACCAAGTGAGTTATAAGATCAAGAATACATATTCCTGCGCCTCCAGAAATATAATCTATGCTATCATGTGCCGAAAGTGTCCGTCTGCTATGTACATTGGACAAACGTCTCAGACACTTCGCCAAAGAATCAATGCCCACAAAACAGACATTAGACAGGATCACAAAGAAATAACAGTTTCTTGCCATTTCAACCAGAAAGGACACTGTCTCAATGACCTGCTAACCTGCATCCTACTTCAGAAGACATTCAAATCTGCACTTGAAAGGGAATCCTCTGAACTGGCATTCATGCTAAAATTCGACACTCTCCGCACCAGACTTAACAAAGACCCCGGCTATCTTACACATTACAAAGACAGCTTCCCCAATTATCACCTCTAATACTATTAACTCACAGACATCTACCCTTCCCCACCTCTAATATCATTAACTCACTGGCATTCACCTTCCTTTCCCCCTAATGTGATTTGTCCTTTTCATGTGTGTTCATTTTTTTAAATTGTATCCTTTGGTATATATGGCTGTGACTATTTTCTTCCATTATTTGATCTGAGGAAGTGGGTCTGGCCCACGAAAGCTCATCATCTAATAAACCATCTTGTTAGTCTTTAAAGTGCTACATAGTCCTGTATTAGTTCTAACTGCCAGGTTGCTTGATGTGATGGGACTTTGCTAAAAACTAGAAAGATGCCACCAATGGCAACCAAATTCAGAAGGAAAAAATATACTTTCAGGTAGTATTAAACCTGGGCTGTATCTGAACAGTAAATCTGATGTGGAAATGAAAATATCTGTATTATGAATATTTTTCTGCATCATCCATTCCTCTAGCAGTGTTTACTGACTTGAAATCAAGAAGGCAGTGGGTCAAAATTCTCAGGATTGTGCTTGTTTTCAAAAATCAGATTTACCAAGGCAAGTATTTTTGATGACCAACTTTTTACTATTTTAAACTGCAAGGACGGGGATCAGAAATGGGATAAATTTAAAAAACAACAACCCCAAAACAGGGAAATAAGGCCAAAGCATTTCAGACAAAGTATAACAAACATAGATTCTAAAGCCAAACTCTTTTCAAATGTGGGTAACTAAAGTCAGCTGCCTAATCCATAATTATAAATGCAAGTGGATGGGTTTTCAAAGGTAAAGTCCCATTGACTTGCATGGAATTTGTAGAATAGTGATAGAAATGTAGCCATGTTAGTCTGTTGTAACTGAAACAAAATACAGGATGCGCATCCAGAAATATAATTTATGCTATCATGTGCCGAAAGTGTCAGTCTGCTATGTACATTGGACAAACGTCTCAGACACTTCACCAAAGGATCAATGCCCACAAAACAGATAATAGACAGGATCACAAAGAAAAAACAATTTCTTGCCATTTCAACCAGAAAGGACATTGTCTCAATGACTTAATTACCTGCATCCTGCTTCAAAAGCCTTTTAAGACAGCACTTGAAAGAGAATCCTCTGAACTGTTATTCATGCTAAAATTCAACACTTTACACCTGAGTCTCAACAAAGGATCTAGTTATCTTACCCATTACAAAGATAGCTTCCCCAATTATCACCTCTAATATCATTAGCACACAGACATTTACCTTCCCGCCTTCCCATCCCTCTTCTGTTCTGAAATTTGATTTGTCCTTTTCATATGTGTTCATTTTTTTAAATTGTATCCTTTTGTATATATGGTTGTGACAATTTTCTTCCACTATTTGATCTGAGAAAGTGGGTCTGGCCCACGAAAGCTCATCATCTAATAAACCATCTTGTTAGTCTTTAAAGTGCTACATAGTCCTGTATGGAATTTGTAGGTATTCAGAACTCCTCAGAAACGGGCTATATTCATTCATATGAAAATGTTGGCCTAAACTACCAAAAATGGTTGCTAAAAAAAATGTATAAATGATCTCAAGGAAGATATGTAGTTGCTTCTGGAGGAGAGAAAGATTGAGGGAAATGGAAGAAACTCAGACCAGGTCTACACTCGATCTGGAAGGTCAGCTTAAGGTACAGAACTCCAGCTATGTAGGGGTATGTCTACACCACCCTCCTAATTTGAAATAGGAGGGTAATGTAGTCATACCGCAATTGCAAATGAAGCCCGGGATTTGAATTTCCTGGGCTTCATTTGCATAAAGCCGGCCGGCGCCATTTTTAAATGCTGGCAGTTCGAACCCCGTGCCGCGCGGCTACACGTGGCACGGAGTAGCTAGTTCGGATTAGGCTTCCTAATCCGAACTAGCTGTACGCCTCGTTCTACGAGGCGTACAGATAGTTCAGAATAGCTAGCTAGTTCGAACTATCTAGCCCGTGCCGCGTGTAGCCGCGCGGCACGGGGTTCGCACTAGCCGGCTTTTAAAAATGGCGGCGCCGGCTTTATGCTTTATGCACAGAAATTCAAATCCCAGGCTTCATTAGCAAGTTTGGTATGCATACATTACCCCGCTAGTTCGAACTAGCGGGGTAGTGTAGACATACCCTCATTGAGTCTTTTTATGTACTTCTAACTATTAATGGGATGTCTATGGTTATACAGCATTATATGCCTATGTTAACTAACAGGCCAAATGAAATAGCTCTTACAGGGTTAAAGGCCTGATCCAAAGAAATAATTCTAACTTGATTAACAGCCTGATTATAAACCCCCTTAAATTAAAGACTCCCTTTCACATCAATAAATTTTGGATCAGGCCCTAGAAGCTGTTTGTGGTATTCTTTAGTGGAGCGCCAGTAAAAGAACTCTGATGAAAGCAACTAGTGTTATTGTCATTTAGTGCCATGTTTTTATTTCCAAGAAAAGCTGTTTTGAATCCTTCTTGGTTTTCAGACTGGTTACTCAGTCTCTGGTTGCTGAAAGAATAATTATTAGAGCAAAATTGCTACCACTCTTTTCAAAATGAAACACTGCCAAGTGGATAAAATTAAACAGGTGAAGAAGCAAGAAGAAAACAATAGCTTAATAAAACAATTCCCCCATGGCTTTCAAAATTACATTATATTCCATACCTCTAATGCTCCTTTCATAAAATATTCCTATAAACTGTAGAATGTTGCAAAACTTTTATAGCCAAATCTGAAAACATGTAGTTTGGGGGGGGGGGCATTAAATTGACTGGTGGAACTAGCCAATGCACCTCAGAATCTTTTGCCTTCTTTCGACAACAGTAGTGGGTGGGGCAGAAGAAAGGATTTGAGGAATGGTTTTCCTAAAGCCAGACAGCTTTGTCATCATAGAGACAGACACTTAAAATGCCATGTTTCTACTGACAGGCAGTGTCTGCTGTTTGTTTATTTTTTTCTTCCAGGCACACAGTATTGTTCAATAGAATTCATCTTGCAGGGAAGAAAACGATCACGCAGAATAGGTGAAATTTAAACGGCATCTGGATCTGAGTTTCATTACTAAACTCTAAAAGCTAGAAAGTCTCAAAAGGAAAGTGCAGTGATTCATTGGCTTCATGACGAAACATGTTGATGTCAATTGAGTGTCATATTATCGTAAGACCCAGATCTAGGTTAGCAGTGATGGGAGTCGACCACATAGCTCTGGTAGGCTTAATTTAGATATTATCGTCACTCCAAGACCATTTCTGTGAAGTACTATATGTTTGGTCGTGCTCTGCTTTTAGAAATTATATCAAATAGTTTATGCAAGAGTATGGATGTAAGGAAGGGAGAAATCATAAGCTATATCCCCAGAAGAAATTATGGCAACCTGACCCCACAAAACCAAAAAACAACAAATAGTTTTTATGTTTTTCCAGGTCCAGACTAACTCAGTTACCCCTCTGAAGCCAAACAAAAAAACAAAAAAACAAAACAAAACAAAACAAAAAAACAACAAAAACCCAATAGGCTATAAAGAACAAAATCCAAAAAGGGAGAAAATGCGGAAGACTAATTTTAAGGCTTCCCTGCAGTGTAGATATACTATTTCGAAATAAGGTTTTTAGAATAACTACTCCGGAATAGCTTATTTTGAAATAACTGTGCAGTGTAAACATTACGTGGGAGAGACATAAGGGCCAGTGGGCAACTCCTAAGATTTTCAACCAGCCCCGTTTAGGGATGGCCTGCATGACTCATATGAGGGCGACCCTGGAAAAGTTGGGTCAAACAAGCTGGAATAAAGTTGGCAATAGGTGTTACCTTTCCTCATAAAATAATGTTATTTTGTGTTCAGAAATAGAGTTAAGTACTATTGAATGCAGACTAAAAGAACAAACCCAGCAAATTCTTACCTCTTTCTTCGTGAATTCTGGGGGATGATCATTTTTGTCATCGATTACAATGGTAGCTGTTGCTGTGCCAGTTAATCCTACATCAAGACCACCCATATCTTTAGCTTCTATAATAAGCTCATATTTAGGGTTTTCCATAGTCTGAAAAAAAAATCAAGAAATCAAAAATTCAGTTTCCTCTACTTCAAAAACAACAAAAAAAAAATCTAATTCGATCTGATACAATATAAGACAAAAATTGACTTTAGCTACTGTCATACTGGCAGAGTGTCCAGACTCTTTCATGGGTGCCTTAAATTAGGAGTGCAAATTTTATCTAAAATACAATATAAAGGAAGATATAATTAGATTTGTGAACATAATATAAACTGAACAACTATTCAACTGTCTGGTGAAATGGGACAGAAATTAAAATATTCCCAGATTTTATTGGCAGAGTTTTATTTCAATGCACCAATATTTAGTCTCGTGACTTGTTAATCTTATGATAGTTATATAATTAAATCTTAAAGTCACATACTGAATATAAACTCATACTTTATTGTATTAAGCCTTATGTGCTCTGCCTGTAATATTTTAAATGTACTAACAAAAGGAGGAAAGCAATATCTAAAATACGATACATCTGACATATTTACTCCACAGTAGGAGTAGATATGGTAACGTCAGCACATCAGATTTATCTAACCATCCAGCCATCCAGTTTTTATATGAGTACCAGGTCTCCAAATCTCACTATCATTTCTCACCCCTACTCTGCCTCTTTAATGCTGGCCATAACTTAAAAGCCAAAATGGGGCCCAGAGTAAATTCTGCTTTGGGGGTATCCAGGATGTTCTCCATTTACTTCGTGTGCTGGACATGGAAGTACAGATGGTGGCCTGCCACACGAAAAGCGTAATATTACATGCCATAAAATTCAATTGTTATTCGGTGCCTGAACCTGCTCCGATTGAAATCATAAACCGTATTTAGATGGACTTCACTGGAGGCAAGATTGATCCTCTCTTAAAATGAATATTTTCCCCACTTGTATGGTTTCATCCAGGGCTGGACGAAAACATGCTGAGGCCCTAAGCTATATCAAACTTTAAGAGGCCCCATAGCATTACCAAAAAATTGTCTCATTCTAAACAGAAAGGACAATGGAAACAGAAATAATACAGTTTAATATTTACATATATACCAATACATAGGTGAGAATGCAATTAAAAACTATTCACTATTTCTTTTAATTTAGAGGCCCCTAATAATCTAAGGCCCTAAGACAGTGGTCCCCAACCTTTTGGGGCTGCTGGGCTCCTGGGGCCAGGGCTACTCACGCACCGGGCACCCGGGGGCAGGACTGTGCACGTGCCTGGGGGCGGGGCCACCCATACTGTGCATGGCCGGTGCTGGCGCCACCCATGCGCCGCACTCCCGGAGCCGGTGCCGGCACCGCTCCTGTGCCACGCACCCGGGGGTGGGGCTGACCATATTCTGTGTGCTGGGGCCGGAACAGCCCATGCGCCGCATGCCGGGTACGGGGCCATCACCGCCCATGTGCTGCATACCTGGGGCTGGCGCCGCTTCTGTGCTGCACGCCCAGGACCAGTGCCACCCCTGTGCCATGCCCAGGGGCTGGCACTGCCCAAATGGTGTGCGCCCGGGGCCGGGACTGCTCCTGTGCCACACACCCCAGCCAGGGCCGCCCCTGTGCTGCACGCCCGGGGCCGGCACCACACATATGCTGCACGCCCAGGGCCGGCACAGCCCTTGCACTATGCACCCAGGGGAAGGGTCACCCAAACGCTGCGTACCTGGGGCCGGGGTCACCCATGTGCTGTGTGCCCAGGGCCAATGCTGCCCATATGCCATGCGCCCAGGGGGCTGGCATCACCCATGTGCCATGCGCCCGGGGGCAGGACCAGCCCCGTTCACTCGGCGGGCGCACAGAAATGGCCCATCAGGTGCCATGGTGCCCGCGGGCACTGCATTGGGGACCACTGCCCTAAGATGTAGCTTACTTAGATTTAGTTTAAATCTGGCACTCGTTTTTGCATATGGGACAATCTGTATGTGCTGTACATATGTGCTGTATTGTCTGTGAGGAGCACACATGGAGAAGTGCTATCTTCCCCTTTAACATTATGCATTAGGAATACCCTGTATGCTCAAGAGCCATTGTTCAAACATGTATCTGAATCACTTAAAAAAATAAAAATGAAAGCTTCTATTTCCTAAAGGAGCAAACCCACAGATCAACATATGGACTGAATATTTGGACTGAAGAGATCCAGATGAAGAAACAATCTTTAATATAATAAAGAGAGATATACCTATCTCTCAGAACTGGAGAGGTCATCAAGTCCAGTCCACTGTCCTCACAGCAGGACCGAGTACCATCCCTGAGGGTAATTCTACACTGCCACCCTAGTTCGAACTAGGGTGGCTAATGTAGGCATTCGAAGGTGCAAATGAAGCCCGGGATTTAAATATCCCAGGCTTCATTTGCATCTTGCTGGGCGCCGCCATTTTGAAATCGCCCTTAGTGCGACTACACGCGGCACGGAGTAGATAGTTCGAATTAGGCTTTCTAATTCGAACTACCGTTACTCCTTGTGGAACGAGGTGTACCAGTAGTTTGAATTAGAGAGCCTAATTCGAACTACCTACTCCGTGCCACATGTAGCCGCGGGCACGGAGTCTGCACTAAGGGGGATTTAAAAATGGCGGTGCCCAGCAAGATGCAAATGAAGCCTGGGATATTTAAATCCCGGGCTTCATTTGCACCTTCGAATGCCTACATTAGCCACCCTAGTTCGAACTAGGGTGGCTAATGTAGGCATTCGAAGGTGCAAATGAAGCCCGGGATTTAAATATCCCAGGCTTCATTTGCAACTTCGAATGCCTACATTAGCCACCCTAGTTCGAACTAGGGTGGCAGTGTAGACATACCCTGACATATTTGCCCAAGATCCCTAAATGGCCCCCTCAAGGATTGAACTCACAACCACTGAGCTATCCCTCCCCCTTTCTTGGGGAACACCTCTGCAGGGGCTTCTCTAGCCTTTGGCTAGCTTCCCTGTATGAAACCAGAGGGACTGTACTGCCTTGTTTCACATTCATTTTTTGATCCATTCTTCTCCTGCCCAGTGTCCAAACTTTCCTGAAGTGCTGCCTCAGAAGAGCTAAATGGGGCTGAGTTCCATGCTGCAGAGAAAGCCAATGCCATCCCATCTCTTCCAAACGGCATCACTGTCTTGTTCAGCAGAATTATAGAGGCTGGGATGAAATTTGTCCAACAGCAATTAACCCCCTGCCATTTAAAATTAAAAAGATTTTTTTTACTATCACTTAGCAAGCCAAACTCCCATGACTTTCACTTTGAAACTAAGAGCTCGGTGTGAGGTCCTCCAAATTATACATTGTGCAGCCCAGTTTATAAAAGACAGACTTTCATGGGAATTTTCACTTTCCAGTCATCCCTGAATTGGCCCTCAAAACATCTGCAGGCCACTAGCAAAGATTCCACAGGCAACTGGTCAATACCATGGCTCAGCAAGAAACTTGTTGTTCAGACAGCCCAAACTAGAAGAGATGCTAAAAAATGAAACCATAGTTTTATAGAAAACTTTCAGGCATGGAGCCTTAAATCCTACCTATCCTGCAACAGGTATGTCCCCTTTTATACAGGGACAAAATGTAACTACATGCAGTTCATTCTGGAAGGCAGAAAATCCCCTACTGGGAAGTTAAACCAGGACCATATATAATCTACTACAGGGCTACTCAACTTTAGAGTCCCCGGGGGCCACAATGATACTCACAGCACATGCCGAGCGCCACAACTTAAGTGTGGTTGCATATGCATGCAAACAGCTTCTTTCACACTAACGGGCATGAATACAAAGATTAAGGCAAGACTACACAACACACGGGCCCCATTTAAGTCAGTTCTGCTGATATTAATAAAATGCAATATTTACCCGATTTCCACTCATCTAACAGTACTTTTAATGAGCAATGACTGTCCAGGAATTTAACTACTAAAACGCATATCAACAGAAGGCCATTATATTGACTTGCTATTGTGCAGCATGTTCCCAGAGGAGGCCATGTTCAAAGGATCCCACCTACAGGCCACATGTTGAGCCCCGCATAAACCCAAATAGCACTATGTGCTGCAAACAAACGGGCTGTGGGCCACATGCAGCCCGTGGGCCGTAAGTTGAGTAGCCCTGATCTAATATATATTTGGAAGTGTTTGTTTGCGTGTTTATCTGTTTTTCTCCATCTGTCTGTTCTAGAACTCATCCTAAACAGTAAGAGCTAGGACCACCAAATTTGGTATGCAGCTTCCTCGTATTATAACTTAAAGCAAGGACAGAATGTGATTGTGTCAGGAAAATGGGATGTGCCTGGAATGGGATTGCTTCTCATAAACCCATACAGAAAAGACACAGAATCACCAGGCAGATGAAAGGCGCTGGCTAGGGGCACTTCCCTCCCCCATCTGAGACTGCCCCAGCCCTAAGACTCTCATCCCCAGGTGACAGGGAGGGCAGGGGGTCTGAAGCCCCCCAAATTTGTACGGGAACATTTCTGGCTGTTCCCTTCATCAGGGAATGACGGGAAAGTGCATAGTTTGCTGCATTCCTCACTCTGGCTGGGGAGCTCAGTAGATAGCTGAACCTGGATCTGCCCCAGTACATGCACTCCTGCCCCATTGTGTCTGCTGGAGCTACAGTGGCTATGGAGATGTGCTTCTCACCTGGCCCCAAGCCGCTGTGGTGACAGAAGTCTAGAGAAGCTCTTTTTCCCAAGGCAACCTGCATATTGAACCCTTCATCCTCACCGTATCCCTGATCAATGATTTAAATGAGGCATGTACATTTTAATTTTATTTTCTATAAAACAAAACTTAATTGAGTTAAGGAACTGAGCAACGCTGGGTAAATCTTCTAGTTCTACATATAGCAATATCACTGCTGTGTCTATGACTCAGTGAACCAGCTTGAAAATACAAGGCTGGGCAAATGTCACAATTTCAGAAAATTCCATTTAAAAATGTTCCCTGTTGTTTTTAGGTGATATTGGAACATTCCCCCCTCAACTTTAGCTTTTTATATTATTTTGAAAATAATGGCTATTATTGCATA